ATATTTATTAACAGGTGAAGTAATGATATTATTTGATCCCATTGTGGTAAAATTTAATAAAAAATGGTGGCATTGTGTAAATACCAAAATGAATGTCTTCATCTGACATTTTAGCAATTAACCCTAAATTAAACCCAAATATTGAATCTAGACTCTAAAATGTTAGCTCCTGTTAAATGCTGACCCTGGAAAACCTTCCCGCTTTATTTTATTCAACTCAATTCAATTTTATTTGTATTGCACCAATTTACAAACAGAAGTTATCTCAGGACACTTTCAAAATAAGAGCAGGTCTTAGACGAACGCCTTATAACATATCACAGAACCCAACAGTAACCACCATGAGGAGCACTTGGCGACAGGGTAAGGAAAAAACTTGCCTTTTAAAGAGGCAGAAACCTAGGACAGACCCTTCGGTCTAGGTGGTGGTCGTCTGCCTCGACCAGTTGGGGTGAGAGATAGAGAAGACAGACAAGACGCACGCAACAACAGGTAGCAAACAACTATCACTAATAGTAGTTGACCTGATGATGATGAAAAATTTTCTAAAGCAAGATTGAACTGCTAATTAAGCATAGCGTTAGTACAGCAGGCCACGATAGTCAGCTCAGCTCTCAAATTCCAGCTATAAAAACTGATCAAAGCTAATCGTAAACACACATCAGGGCTTTATGCTCAGCGATCCTACTAAGCTTCCTATTGGAAACCATACATAGTCAGCTGACAGCTCAGTTGATTCCCTCAAGGCATCCATGGCAAATAATCATTCAAGGGCGGCCTTAATTTTAGCTGCTTTAGCCTGCCTATCTTTGTGCTTCCTCACAAGCCGTTTTGCAACCCACTCCACCCAGCTCTCTTTATGTGTTTCTAATTAATCAATCATCATTTCTGAATGCCAATTGATGCTTGCCGTGTGGCTGAAACCCTGGGGTCTCTGCTGCGCTTCCTTGTCTTAAAACTCTTCCATGTGTGACATGAAGGAGGGAGTGTGCTCTCCCTGCCTTAAAGGTTTTCACGATGGTGGAAGGACAAGGAGGTCCCAGAACAGAGCCATACCTCCAAATGTAACATTCTGCTTTGGAATAAAGTTATTTTGACAAAAGTGGTCGTGACTGAATGTATAATAATGTCTTGAATAATAATAATGTAGGATAATCTATTACTTGTTTGGTTCAGGTTGTTTATTACAAAATGCAGGTGATATTGTTAAAACGTATTACATTCTGTTAAATTACTACGTCATGATGTATTATTTTTTAATCAGCACTTTGTCTTTTCAGTGTAAATAAATCAATTTTTCATTTCATTTATCAATTGTGTTTTGAATAATCAGAAATGTATTACATATGTCTGTATTATGAATCAAACTAATATGTTATTACAGCTTGATAATGCTGATAACTTTATTGCATATATTTTAAATCAAGCAATTGTCTGATAACTTGCAGATATTTTGAACCCTAAATCACTGCATTTGATTTGTTCTCAATATGTAATTAGAGGAATAAATATAATTGTAACATAATGGCAAGTCAGAAATAAGTTAGTGTTAGATCTGGTAGAAATAGTACAAGCATTAGTCATAGTTGCAATAGCTGTAATACAAGTAGTAGACAACAGGGGTAACAGTAGTACGGACAATGACACAAACATTGGTGACTGGTTACAGCTGGGATTTTTACCATTAACAGCAATAATAAGTTAACAGCAGCTCATCATATAACTAAAAAACCTACACTAGTTACAAATGGTAAAAGTGGAGATTATTAGCATGATTACAATTTTGCAATACATTTTAAAATAAAGATAAAAACATTTTAACACTGTACTACATGCACGGGTTATATCAGACCATAAACAAATGAAAAACTACATGCCTGATCCAGAATGCTGCAGATACATCCTCAAACATATTTTATTAAAAATAGTTTAGAAATAAATAAGAAATAAAACTTAAGACATTCGTGTCTATGGCAAACAACACCAGTACTTTATGTCCCAAACTAAAACAAGTATCCCCAGAGGTATCCAACTGTACCTGTTGCTGACCATGAAGGATTCTGATAGAAGGAGGCAGGATGGAAGGACACTTATATCTGTATGTGGGTGTGAGGGTGTGGGAGACATGTAGAGCGGAAAAACCACATGCTGGTGTTCCGTTCTGGCTGAATGAAAAGCATATTGAATACTGGTGTGTTTATGTTTGTTGTACGATTACTGTAGGAATAACAGTGAGAATGGTAAATGTGGAAGCCTGACTTGGATGTGCTTGACAAGTCACACAAACTGAACCAACTTCTTGCTTGCTCTGCCCTTTTTGTCTCTTCGCCCATTCTTGAGTCACTGTAATCTCTCCTCCTCCTATTTCTTCTCTTCTGTCCTCACTCGTCTCTGTCACCTAATTCTGCCTAGCTGAGATGACAGTTCTTGAAATCTGTTGTTGAAGTAGTCTTTTTGCTCTGCTAGCTTAGCGCCCTCAGCTGTTCATCTGTCAGTTCATCAGTCCATTTAACACTTCATCCCAGAGCAAGCCAAGTTGTCATTCAATTTACTGTTACCATTCATAACCCCCACAGGATATTCAAGACAGTGTTTTTCAAGGCCCTCCCAGTTCCAGCCTTTCAGGCTGTACATGTAAAGAAAGGTCCTTGTAAAATTTGTTTTTAAATTGCAATATTGCAATAAGGCACACAGTTAAAACTCCCTCACCCTTTGTCTTATTTTAAGTTATTTTTTGCATCAAAACAATAACAAAA